CCCCAAAACCCCAAAACCCCGCAACACTTGTTAGAAATAAATTTAATAGGATATGGAAATAAAATAAAATAGGCTTATTAAATTATCAAAAGTTGTATAAAGTTAATATACAATTTTAGATATGAAATAAGTTATTACAAGTCCCAAGCATATGCAAAAATCATCTTCAAATTCTTTTATAAAGATAAAGGAATCTATTCATTCAAGAATAGGGTCATTGTCAAGAGCTAAATAACCGTTTTACTCGACCTTGGAGATTATTAAACCTTAGAAAGCAGAGACGGATGAGCAAATATTTGACATTCCATCAAATCCATTCAAGAATGAACTTCCATTAATAATGAATCAAAAATAAACTGAGAATAGGCTAAAGAAACTCATAGATTAAATTGACTCTTTTAAAGACAAAAAACCCTTATTAAGGTAACTATTGATACTTCCTTCAATTCTATATGTAGGAATTTTTCAACTAACATGAATATGAGCAGGTCATTATTTCAGGTCAAACCTACCATAAATATTGAAAACCTCTTAAAGTCTAATCAAAAATAAGGAAAGTAAGATGAAACCTAGAATCTAAGTATCAATAAAGAGCATTAGCATAAGAAAAAAAAGAAAAAAAGCAAGAATAAAAAGGTTAATTTTTCCCTTTCACCAATCAGAATGTCATAAAGAGTATTGTTAAAAAGATAAAATCAAGGTCTCAACAGCTTTGCTAACTTTGATGAAGGAGATACTGAATTTGATGACTATGAGTTCTATAAATAGCTTATGAGATAATATGGAGATGAGCTAAAATAAGTTTTTATAGGATTTGATAGCAAAATTGATCACAAAACTCTAGATCATGACCTGGATGCAGCCAAGAACAATAGGCATTTCTACCTAATGAGGAACTTGAAGTACATTATTAAGAAGTAGATGTTTGACCATCATAATACAGATCTCGATGAATATGATGATTAATTCTAGTTTGATAAGCTAGCATCTCTCCACAAATAACTTGGATTAAAAGAAGAAAACAAAAAGGATGATGATGGGCTAAAAGGTGCAGTGATTCCTAAGTAATTTCAAAAAATACTTCAGAGGTCAAACTCAATTCTATCTATGTTTAAGATTGATGACATTCAAAGTGATAACGGTCAACACTCGTAAAACAGACTCCACTAGAAATAAAATGAATCATCTCTTTTGAGTTCAAACAAAAAGCATTCTCATTAATAAAAAGTAGAAATGCTATACTACGATAAAGATCTTAATGTGTCTAAGAGACCTCCAGTTCAGGATAAGAACCAGATAACAGAGGAGTCTATATTGACAGAATTAATGAGCAGACAAAACTTGTCGTCCTAAAGAGGCAGTAAAGACTATACCTTAAAGGATTTGACAACAAAAGGTTGTGATATAAAGAAAATATTTTCAGATATTTGCCCAGAAAAATTCTAGCCAAAAAAACTGAATAGATATTCAACTGATCCTATATTAAGGATTGCTGATATGTCAACTAATATAATCACTAACACCTAAATATTTGGTTAAAGTAGCCTCCTACAAAACCAAGATGAAAAGACGGAAACTAAACTCTAAGATTCCCTTTTTTCATACAGAAATAATAATCAGGGCTAGAGCAGCAAACATAAGAATGAGAGTCTCATCAAAGTTGATGATCCTAATGATTTGTATAACTTTGAAATGTCTGTTAAAAATTCTATTAATAATTTAGACTCAAAGTTTTAAGATAGATCGAACAGCAATAGCCACCATTTGTTGCCAGAAGAAATAGTGTAGAAGCGAGAATAAAGTTTGAAGGATTTAATCAATAAAATGAATGAAGTTTAACTCCCAGAAGATTACAAGCCTTAAAAACCAGAAGTAACTCAAAAAGATAATGTTCTTTCGATCCTCTACAAATTTCAAGAAATGCATAAGTACAATATGTTTCATACCAAGAGAAAGATTGCAAACATTAATAATAAAAAGCGAGCTGAAACTGAAGAAGTTGAGTATGATAATTTCTATGAGAAAAATAAATAAACTGTTGCAAAGTAAATAGACCAAGATAAGGATAAGTACCAAGTGAGGATGACTCAATCTGCCTCTGTTGATAATATTTAATAGATACTTGAGAACGAAAGATAAGGCAAATCTAAAAAGAAACAAGTTGAATTTGAGGAAGAGCCTGAAAATGAATATGTTCCATAGTATGATGAAAATGGTAAGCTATTGAACAAAAGAGATGATACAGCAGAAAGAGTAATATTGTTTTAAATGCAAAAATCAAATATTCTTGATAAAATAGAATTGGTCAAGGATAAAAGAAGAAGGCAATATGTTGTTGAGCCTTTATCATTTTCAAAAATTGGAAAATAAATATTCAAGAACAAGAAGGAACCTTATCACACCATAATATAAGAAAAATCTTCAGAAGAGTACTTACGATCATTTAATAAGATACATAAGAATTTAAGAGGAGACTCGGAACTTTAGTAAGAGGAAAGAATAAAGTAAAGAGATAGGGAGCTAAAGAATCAAGAGGAGATTGTGAGTGAGTAAATGAGAGGTTAACCTCTCTTTAAAGATCTTCAGATTATTGATGAAATAGATGAAAATAATAAGTACTTCAAATGGCAATATGCAAAAATACAGAAGAATCCTCTATATAAAATAAACTATAAAAGAGAACTTGCAGTGATGGATGCTAAGATAGTTAGGGAAAATGCTAAAAAGGAAAGCAAAGAATTGCATGATTTAGAGAAGAAAAAGATCATGGAGAAAAGAGATATCTTTATGAGTAAAGATCATGACACTAAGAGGAAGAAGAGAATGGTTAAAGCTCAGAAATTAATTAAATAGCAAAATGCTAGAGATGATCTTCATTTTTGAGAATATCGAAATTATGAATAATTACTTGAAAACCCCGTAATATAGAGAGAGATAAAAATAAATATCTAATCTTTATTTCATAAATCATCAAATTTTGAATGCTTGGGGTTTTGGGGTTTTGGGG